TCCACTGTCAGCCTATCCTTAGAAACCATTCTGATTCTATCAGCACAATGGTGATAAATGTGGGAGCAATATATATGTGTGTATATACACGTATATATACATAAATACATATATATATATACACATAGGTGTGTATATATATGCACTGGGAAGGGGTAGATTACAGGAAGATGCAAGAAGCATTTTCTAGGTTGATGGAAATGTTTTCTACCTTAGTCTAGGATGGTGAGTATGTGAATGCATAAGTATAAAAATGTATAAAACTATCCAGATTCATGTATTCTACTATACATAAAGCATATTGATTAGTAAATGGATGAATGGGGAGGTGAACACATTTCTCTTGTAAAAAAAACACAATTATAATATATTATTAACCAGAACCTTTATCTATATGAAAATGCTAGCTGTAATAAATATTAACTAGTGAAGAGTCATGGAAATCAAGGTACTAAGTAGCTTTGGCACTTACACAGTTTTTGACATCTTTTTTTCCTGTTAGTAAATACCTAAAATACTAAGATCTAGGCACTCCTTTGGATACTAGAAGTACAAATATAGAGATGTTCAAATATATGCCCTTAGAATTGGGTGCACAGTTCAAGTGATAGATTGCCACCCTTGAGCAAAAAAGACAAGCAAGAACTCAAGGCCCTGAGTTTAATGGACAAAGAAAATGCCTTTGAAGCCTGACTCCATGAGAAGAGAAGAAAATGGAGAGACACTGTTGGAAAGTTAACCCAGGTCCAGATCATGAAGTATCTTGCAGGCTAGGCAAAGTAGTAAAGCAGTTTCCTAGCAAGGGCGAGGCCTCAAGCGCATACCTCAGCACCACAAAGAAAAGTTGGAGCAAATAAATAAAAAGTTTAAGTTTACTTCCCCAGTCTGTAAGCCCAAATCTGCTTTTTTCCTGCCTTTTTCTTTAACGAAGGCCATGCAGACCCCAGAAAGCAAATCTAGCCACAGAATGTGAAAAGGCAGCATTCAAGGAGATAATTTACTTGTTTCAAATGTATGTTTTCCTAGTGCTGGTTTACAAGATTGCTTTGAGCTGCACTCTCCTCCTGTTTATAACAAACTAAAAATAAAAGTAAACTCCTGACCACCATACATTTCTCAACTATTTCTAGAAAAGTGCTTCTGTATTATACTAAAAAAGAATGATTTTTTTAAAGTAACTTTGAAGGTAAAATCATTTTCAATACTTTTTCTAGTGTATGTTTCCTGGTCTATTGCTTAGCTTTCTTCCAGACTTGCTTTTCCTAGTCACTGAATAAAAGGAAATTATGATTCATAACAAAACAAAACATAGACAGCAGAACCTCAGCCAAGACTATGATGAACTATTTATCAGTCTTACAGGGGTACACTGGAAATTATAAATATTAATCAGAGTTTCATACTAGCTGTGTACAATAAAGATGCTTTGCATAATTGCAGTGTTATCACTTGTCTACAAAACAACACTGAAAACAGATGTAACACACAAAAGTTACACTTAATAAACTTTTTATATGGTTTCCCCATATCAAGCTTAATTCTATCTATGCAAAGCTAATTCTTTAAAAAAATACTCAGTTATGTGCTAAGAGGTATGTAGTACAAAATTCACTAAATCCTCAGTGAAATACTATACTTATATACATTACAGTATACATTAGTGAAAAATTCCAATCACAATAACTTTTTGCAAGATTTATTGTGAACACTTGTAAGTAGATCTGCTGGGAACTGCTGCATGCCTGTTAAGAGAAAAAAACTTTTCAAAAAAATGCATAACTCATGCCTGTTACAATACAAATAGTATTTAGAGTTGGACATAACCAAGACCTGAGAAGTAAAAAAAAATCACAATGGCTATGTGTGGAAATGTTTCAATGAAGTCCAACTTGTTATAACTAATATAAATGAATTAAAAAAGTTATAAAGATTCTCCAACTTCAGAGAAGTTAAAAAACACACTCATTGTTCTGCAGAATAGGCTACCAACAAAGCCATACTTAACATCACTTTGCTGAAAGGATCTCATGCTCCTAATGAATAAAGTTTTAAGCAGGAACTGAGATGCCTGCTAACAATCACAGTAAGATCTATTTGATAATCAGTGCAGAACCATACTTTTATGGCACCTAGCTATTAGCAAGTGAAAGACTACACTAAATTTGAAGAAATAAGTCACCAGATGCTCTAAAGTTTCCTGACCTCATAAGCAAGCTAGATCCTGGAAGCAAAAGAACAAATAGACATCAAATGCTGAGAGGAAGTTGTACCCCAATGGAAGAGAATGACCAAAAAAGACTAAGAAAAGGAAAAACATTATCAAAATATGGCCTATCATTAGAAATTCTGGTATAGAGAATAAAATGATATGGTCATTAGAACACTAACCTTTCCCTAGAATACATTGGTATTACCTAAGAGTAAAGTGAAGAACCAGAGAAACTCTTTGGAAAAGACAATTACTACCATTTAAGCGTATTACACCAAGGATCTTTGTGTAATAAGTTTATGTGTTTAATATGTATAAACCCAATATACATAGGAAAATAGTCAAATATGGAAGAATAGCTTTTACTTTAGATTTTTTAAAAATGCAGTACATGAGGAGGCAGGACAAAAAAAAGGTAACATGAAATTGCCACTACAAACAAAATCTAGGATTTTTCTGTCTTCTAGAGATCTGAAGCTTTCCAAATAAATGTGGATGAGATACAGTTACTAAAAATGATGTTAAGATTTTGTGGCAACCTAGAATAATTATTGAATAAAATAAATGGAAAAGAAAAACTACAAAGTAGTGCATGCACAGGGGCTTTGGTATACCTCAGTGGGACAGCAAATGTGTAGTGTGCTGGAAAGCCTGGGTTGATTTCCAGAAATGCAAAGAAAGAAAGAAAAAGAAAGAGAAAGATAGAGGGAAAGAGAGTGAAAGAAAGAGAGAGAAAGGAAGTAATATGGTTTGTGAGATTACAATGGTAGGCTTAAAGATATAATGATTGTTAAAAGTGAGGTAAAATAGTTCTTTAACCTTTCAAAGAAAAACGATTCTGTAAATGCTGTCATGTAATTCTTATAGATCAAAAACTGTTTTAAAACTGTGTTAGTATTTGAAAAAAATGTTAAATAAAATTTATTTTTTAAAGACAAATCATGCTGCTTTGTAGTTGTCTTTTTACTACTTCAGATTAAAAGAGGATGTGTCCAAATAACCACACTACAAATAGTGGCTTATGGGATTATAGGTCAAAGGGGTAAGGAAATTCAAATTGTGAACCTTTCTGGTGTGTGTGTGTGTGTGTGTGTGTCTGTCTGTCTATCTGTGTCTGTGTGTGTAGTGATGATGATGGAACCCAAGGCCTCATGCATTGTGGACAAGCTCTACACCACTCAACTGTATCCCTAGCCTGCGGATTCTTGAAATCTTGGATGTGTAGCTCAGGCTGGCCTTGAACTCACCATCCTCCAGTGTTTGACCCAAAGATCTTTTCTATGCACCAAAAATAGTGATCAAACTTAGGCTCAATTTCTCTAAATAGATTTTTTTCAATAAAACAAAAACTCTGAAAGCAAAGCAAGTCAAGTAGAACAATGTTAAGGGAAACCAGCTAATCACACTGTTACTGGAAACTACAAGTTACTAAAGTAAACTCTCCATTTAGTTTCCTTATGTCTGTAGAAATGCTTTGGCCAACTACTCAGTGTGGTAAGTACCTTTCATTAAGACATTTCACTTCCCAAATGAACTGCAGCACATTCAGACTGTGCCTCTCAAGCATTAGTAAGAGATAATTTTAAGGAGAAAACACCGGAAGATAATGCACAATAACCTTTTTTAAAAAATTGTAAATGCGAGTATGATTCTTAATGACCAGTGCAGGCAAAGCAATTCTTTATCTGTTCACTATGGGAATACAAATGAACTCGACACAGAGGCTACATTCTCCCTTTTCTCCGGTGGGTGAGGTGCTGTGAATCTAATCATGGAATTTGGGTTTTGTATCAGCTCACAGTCAATCTTCCCCTGCGTTACCGTTCTTGCCTCTAGACAAACAGGCTAGGATTCTAAGATGCTGTGCCATTTTTACGCGAAGTGCCTAAAAAGGTTCTGTTTCCGAATCCCCCCCCCCTCCTACACGCGCCCTGTTCTTCCTCCCCACTCCGCGTGGTTCCAGTCACATAGGGAGGATAGCAGAGATAGTTGACACCCGAGCTGAACCTGATCTCCAGCGTTTCTGGGTCTGGTGCGGGGGTGCGCCTTGGGTGCACAAGTTTCCGATTAGGTGGGGAGGGTTCGAGGCTATGGAGTGCAAAAGAAGGAGTGTGGCCTTTGAAGGAGGGCTGACGCTGCCATGATCTTGGCAGGAAGGCGAGGGGAGGGAGAGGAAGAGGCTAAGAAGGAAAAGCGGAGAACAGCCAGCTGAGAGGGGCGGGGGAAGGGTGGGACGGAGTGGGGGAGGAGACTGGGGCGGGGCAAGGCGGAGGAAGGAGGAGCCTAGGCTCTAAAAAAGTTCGCGCACCCAGCCCGAAGCTCCTCCCATGAGGAGCCGATGGCTCCGCCCACCACGAAATGCATCCACGCGCGGCGTACCCCGTAGGGCGGCTCCTGACCGCCTCCCTAAGGGACTGGGCACCTCCTTCCTTCTCCTCCCTTCCCTCCCTCCTTGCGATCTCAGCAGCGCCCTCAATCTCCCTCTCTAGCTCATACAAAAGCAAAATGTCCGCCATCTTCTATGGCAGCTGCCACTTTAGAGCCACGAGCTCAGCCTTTTATTACGCTTTTCCCCCCGAGGTTTCTCCTCCCTTGTCTCCTTTCGCCGAACCCGCGGCGCTGCAGCCGCCTCCCCCCCAAGAAGCCGCGGACGGCCCCGCTCCGCGCGCCTGCTGTGCCCCTCTCCCCCGCCCCCACGCCCCGCCGGACGACGCTGGACCTCCATGGGAAGAAGATAGGGGACGATCAGCCCAGTGGATTGGCCCCACCATTCCCCGAACAGGCCACTTACCTTGATGCAGTATGGGGGTTCATCGTAGGTGACCAGCATGTACCTGTCTCCACGGCTGGCCGGATCCCTGGCACGCAGCTGCGGGGCGAGGCATGACAGAGGGGTCGCATAGGAAAAGAGGGGGAGCGATACAGACGTTACAGAAGCACCGAAGTCCACCTCCTAGTCCCTGGAGAGCCAGCTTTTACCTCCCCTCCCCTCCCTTTACCTTCAAGAATAACTCCACAGCGCCTTTGGCAATATCCAAATAAGAGGTGCCTAGATCTGTGCGCTGGTTCATGGAGGCGGACGTGTCTATGAGGAACAGCAGGATGGGCATCTTCTCCTGCACCCCGGCTCTGCTGCCCACTGTCCTGGCCCTCTTGCCCTCAGTGCCACGTACGGCTACCCGAACCCTCAACTCTCAGAACCACGGAGCAGAGAGCAAGAGGACGAGGGGGAGACGGGATGGATCGATGGGACCGCTCCTGGCGTTCTCGTTTAGCAGCTCTAACTGCTTTGCTGCCAAGGCAACTTGAAAGAGTAAGTGTAGCCCCCCCCCGGACCTGCCCCCACCCCCCCACTCGTGCCCTCACCAGCCACCACTACTGCTCCAGCCTCCAGGACTACAGTCTCACCATCCTGTCGCGCTCACAGGAGCGCTTGTCTCAGAGTGAGACGCTATGTTCACTGACACACAACTTCAGTTGGCTCACCTACGGTTGGCACCACGTGATCAGAACCCACGCCATTGGCTGCCAATTATGTATATTTGCATATTCGTTAGATTACAGTGCTAAGGGAGGACTTGAGCAAAGCCTGGGAGTTGAAGTTTGAACCCAGGCAGGGAGTCAGGAGGAATGCTAAAAGACCCTCCTATGGCTTGAATTCTGGTGGGGATTTTTTTTCCTTTTCGTTTTATTATCTTTAAGTAGTTGTACAAAGGAGTTGCCATTTGACAAAGCAGTTTATGAATACAGGAAGGCATTAGAATAATTCCTTTGGCTGCTTTGGGTAGATTTTTCTCCTGCTTTTCAAAGATGGTGACGCGACAGGAAGAGAGAAAAGTGAATTGGGCAATAATTGCACAGAAGTATAGAAACAAATGCTTGGATAGGCTGTGCAGAAAATGCTTTGCTAACTGTAATCCATCAGCCCTGCTAGTGGCTAAGACCAAAACATTTCAGAAGCAGGAAATTTCTTTCCTGGCGAGACTTACTTGCATTCCTTTAGATTCCTCCCTTCCGTGATCAGTATTTCTCCATGGTTTGCTCTCTTCTATTTCACACACTGTATATGTACTTAGAAGAGAAACTGAAGTTTAAACAGTTACCCTAAACTGGACCTCCACATTTCATTGAACTCTTTGAAGCATTGGCAACATGCGGTAAATGCACCGCTATTGGGTATGTGCAGCCTTTACAAATGGGAAGTATGCCAACCTGTATCCTTCAACTCACATGTACTGAGTAGCCATGAACTGCCCGACACCCATGGCAGACTCACTTCATCCTTGAAATAATTGTAGTAGATGGTATTGTACTCGGTTTTGATAAGAAAAGTCCTGCTACCCTGTGGTTAGGATAGAAATGTGAAATGTTATTATGTATGGCTCCATGTAAGAGCTCAATAACTGATCAACCATGCTTGATTGACTACTTCATGTGACCCAGATTTTAAATGCACTCTATTTCTGGATTAAGGCTATAGTTTGAGGATAGAGTGCTTGCCTACCCTACTAAAAATTAGGTTCAATACCCAGCACCACAAAAATTAATAATAATGATGCAGAACATTTCTAGCAATATGCTTTATCCAACTTAAAATGCTGGACTTCAATGAGTTTACCATTCCAATGAGGAATGATCATATATATATATGATCATGTTTATATATTCTATGTAGCCATCCTATGTATGTGTCCTATGTGTATATATACCATATACAGCTGATTCAAACAACTCATTCCGTATTTTCAGAGAAATAAAATTTCAAAACGAGTCACATGGTAGTCTATGAAATCAAGGACAAATAAGTAATGCAAATAAGCACAAAAGAAGCAATAATCCTCTGACCTCGAGAACCTTTCGTGAACGAGGGACAAAATGATAAAGAACGGAATTTTGGTTTAAAAAATGCTGTGAACAAAAACTTCAGCTAAAGGACAGGTTCTGGTAGCTCACATCTGTAAACCTAGCTACTTAGGAGATTGAGATCCAGAGCAGAGAGTTTAGAAGCCAGGCAGAAAAGTCTATGAGACTCCATCTCCAAAATAACAACCAAAAAGCCAGGCTGAAGTGGTAGAAGTGGCTGAAGTGGCTGAAGGCTCAAGTGGTAGAAACTAGCCCTGAGCAAACAAGCGAAGGGAAGCTGAGGTCTAGAATTCAAGCCCTGGTAACAGTAAAAATTAATTATTTAGGTCAACCAAACATATTATTATCTATGATGCCTTTCAGGGCAGTTTGAACAGAATTAATGGGGAAGGATGAAAAAGATGTTCAAATGCCCATTTTCATTCTGATATAAATATGATTGGAGAAAGATCATATGTGTGCAAACTAGGGTGCTGAAAGTTTAGGAGTCTTGGGCACTTGTATATTTGTTTTCTATTGCTGTGTAGCGAAATGCCAAAAAACCAATGCCACAGATTAAACCACACTCTAGTTAAGGCTGGGACATAGCTCAGTGGCAAAGCGCTTGACTAGCAAGTGCAACATCCTAGGTTCAATTCCCAGTATGAAAAAAGAAAAGACAAAAATAATTATATAAAACGCACCCATTTATTATGTCATGGATTGCAGAGTTTAGCTAGTTCTCTACTCACTCTCCTAAGACTGCAGTCAAGGTATATGGGCCAGCCTGTGTTTTCATGTGAGGGCTCAATTGAGAAACAATCGACTTGAAACTCATACAGGCTAGTGTCAGAATTCCTTTCCTTGTGGCAATATGTATGCAGGCTGTACCACCCACAGTTGCAATAGTTGTTGCAGTTCCCTGCTATATGGTCCTGTCTATTGACTGTTCACAATATGACTGCTTCTTGAGGGTCAGCAAGGAAATCTCTCACTATAAGTTTCTAACATTGTGGCAAGTCGCCAGTCTCATCTGTACTTAAAGGAGAGATTATATGGGACAGGTGCACTGTAGATGCCTGAAAACATTGACTAACATTAGATGTGGAAGGGATTATTTTCTAGAAACAAACTTCCTTATTCATATATAACACATGCTAAGCTGTAATATGGCTCAGCCCATCAATATTTTCTTTGCCAAGGTTTGGACTCAGGGTCTTGCCCTTGCTCAACTTAGGTTACTCAACTGGTGCTCTACCACTTCAGCCACACATTCTGGCCTTTGGTTGATTACTTTGGAGATGGAGTCTTATGGCATTTTCTGCCTAGGCTGGCTTCAAACTTCCATCTTCTGGATCTCAGCCTCCTGAATAGCTAGGATTATAGGTGGGAGCCCAAGAACAAATGGTCTTTTAAAGATGACTTCCAAAATCTCATTTATACTTTCTTCCACCCTTTTTTACGACTATGCTTTACTTCTATAACCATAAAAAAGAAACTATATTCAAAATTGTGTATAACATATTCAAAAAGTCCTTTCAAGTTGAATGCTATGAGAGCAGTTTTCAAAAGTGATTTATCAGCATTAGAGAAGCACAAATAGTTTTAATTCCACAGTTCTCTAGTGATTAAGGAAATGCAGGCCCCACAGGGTAGAACTCTGGAGGAAAGATACTCTCCCCCAAATGGGCAAATGCCTTTGAATGTATTATGCTGTTTTTCCCTAACAAGGCATTCTATTTAATCTTTTTGGCATAAGCCCAGATGAATGTAACTAAGATGTAAACATCGAATCTGAAAAATATCCACATTTCATTTTAAAATACAGAAGTGACAATATACCCCAAAAATAACAATTTGGTAGATGCATGTACTTATTCAGATCAACCAAACCCCAAGTGACTTCCTCACAATAAAACCACTCTTCTTCCTTTTCTGAAGCAAAGTAAACTTTGTATTATGTTTCTTTGGTACATATCAATAGTAAAACTCAAGAGTTCTTTCTACAACTTTCTCTGATTCAGAACAGTAGCCCCCTTGTGCTGCAAGTTATTTGGGCCTTGAATGGACTTGTTTTCTCTTACTAGAATATAAACTCTTGAGAGTACTCGGCCTGTAATCAATGTTTGGTGCAAAGTACTTGCTCACTACATGGTTGTTGAAAGAAATTATTGAATATACTGTGGTCTTCATTCTTTCATTGTCTTCTCCTGTGCTTGGGTATAAGGATACCCAGCCTTTCCTTTTGCCCCCTGTCTGCCATTCCTTACCTGAGCAAAGTAATATACTCATTGTCCTGGTAGATCCAGTACCTTCTACATTTGCATTCCAGTAGGCCCTTTTAGACCAAGCTCTTGAATTAACTGCCTCCCCCAAGCCCTGGCAACTTTCCTTATGTTCTATTGGTGCTTCCTTATAAAGTATTTTTCTGGTGAGAAACACTGCTCAATATTTGTCTTCCTCAGTCAAATCTTCCCATCTGCTCCCACATGTAAGGCTTGATTTTACTGCCTTGCCTCTGACCAGTAAATGCATTTTTTAAAAATTGTAGCTTTACCTTGTCTTGTTTCTGGGCCTCCCATGATGCTTGAACTTGTGAATTGTCGAGAACAGTTTTCTCTTTTTCACTCTTTACCTGCTTTTCATTTACAAATAGGGCCTAAATCAATTCATTTTCCTATCTCATCATATGACCCTATTTTGAAGCTTCTACCCCACATCTGGGGCCACCACTTGCCTCTTAGGAAACTATTTCTACCAAGTGGGTGCTCTCCTGGTCTTCACTAAATTCACAGAATTATTAGTTTATAGTTTATGTATTTGGCCATGGTGTGGCCCACTATCATATAGGATTCCGTTTTTATGAAAGCCAGTTTGACTTCTTACCATCCAAAGATTTGTTTCCTTTTGCCTTTAAGCCAATGCTGATCACCACATCTTGACCAAAAGACCTTAGTTAGCCTCACCCTGCCCCCCTCCCAACATACATACATAAAAATTCTTCCTTTCATGGCTCAGAGGGGAGCTCAATCTTCCTACTTATTTTCTTCACCAGCCTGATTCTCTCAAGCCTATGGAACCTTTCCCTAACCGACCATGGAAACTGCGTGGACAACCCCAGTGTCCTGCTCTTGGCCAAATCTAGGAGTCTGTTCTACATTTTCTTATGTTCACTGAAAAGCTATTTGTCTTTTGCCTTCTGAGATCCACCTGCCATCTTCCACCTGCTGTCTACTTACCTTGCCTTTCATCACTTGCCATTTCTTCTGAGTCTTTCTACCCTTTGGATCATATTTTTTCACTTTCATTGCATCCTAATCATAATGTCTGTATTACTCTACTTTTTTCCCTCTTATCCCATCTGAAGATTGTGTTATTTATACAATCTTTATCTATTTGGTCATTCTATATTTGTTTTATTCAAATATTTCTTGAGTGAACCATTTGTATTACAAGAAATGAGG